TGCTCAAAACGGCATTACACTTGTTAGACCCAACTCATTTTTATGTATAAATAATGGGTTTTTCAATGTTTTATCTGCAAACTGAAACCAAACAAGAACATTGTTTTTGTTTTTACAAGGCATAAAAAAATACAAAAACTGTATTCAAACGTCAGACAGATAAAATGAAATAGATATCAGGTTTTGTATTTGTTGCCGATTTAATTTATGACATGCAGACAGACAGTCTTGAGAGGTATCAGAGGGGAGATGGAATCTTTGATATTCGCAGGTCTCGGTGTTCAGTCAAGATCAGGCACCTCAACATAATTAAGAAGATTAGCAAGGTGTCTTCTCTGAACGTAACCTGTGCTCCATGTGCTGAGCTTTCTGTCAATATTGTCCCAACTTGAGTGTGTTTTCAAAATAAGAGCAAAGAAGCTGGAGGTTTTTTCACAATTTCATTTTTTTTAAATTTAAAAACATAGTCTCACAGTGACAAACATTAACTGAATAAGCTGAAGCTTTTTGACTGTAGGTAGCACACAATTTCTACACTGATGATGTTCTAAAAAAATGTAGTTGTTTCATCTGAGTTTTGTGAACCCTCATTCATTAATTGTGTAGTAACCTCAGCTATGTCATCATTACTTATGGGCGGGAGCATGTTTGGCCAGGTTGTCTAAGGTGCTGCGATTCACTTTTAGCAGTTGCCTCCCTTAGATGTGCCAGAAAGCTATGTCATGGGTTTGAATCATTCTGATTCTTGGTTTGTCAGCCCAGTGCATGTACCGGTATTAGTGGGTTTCATCTCAGACCTGTCAGGCTTTCCGCCCACATTATGATGACATGTTGTGATTTAATTGAAATACTGTTCAGAGAGCAATTAAACCAAATCTCTTTCTTCAACGCTTACCAGTATATATGCTTAATTTGGTTCACCAAAAGTAAATGATGAAGAATGAAGGCAATCATTCCTGGTCGAGATAAAAAAATGGTAGCAGTTTCGTAAGGCTTTACATTTTGCTTTCCACAGACCAGTTTACTTAACAAAGGGTTTCTTCACATTTATCACATGACTTGTTTGAGAGGCATTTAGAATTTGGGTCTCTAGGAAAGGATAGCAATGCATGAATAAACAATTTCTTTATTACCATTTATTACTTTCATTTATCACATGGCTGAAGTATGTTGTAGACATAATTATCTTAAGAAGTATTACTGTAAATCAGCATGAGTTTGTTTACTTTCAATTTGCTCTGATGCCATTCAGTCAAATATATTACAGAATAAGACAATGACTTAATGTAAACGCTGGGGATCCTGTATACTCATATCCTGAAATGAAGGAAGAATAGGGCAGTGTTAGAGGCTCCCTGCATGACCCCAATCTGAGATACCAATATGGATGTGGTTTGAAAAAATCGCTGCATGTTCTTTTATAGGCCCTCTGGGGTTCACTGAATAAAAATACATTGCATGGAATAAAGAATGTATGAAGAATATCAATAATTATTTTTATAACATTCATGTGTTTATGAAAAAGTACAAGTATACTATTCCTTTAATATCTGGTGATTTCTAAATATGTATGTTGAAAGATTGGCATTTTATATAAACAATTGTAAAATATATAGTGAAAATAAATCATTTAAAAGTAATTAATTTGTAATGATTTTAATTTACTAATATCAAAAATTACTAAATTGACAGTTAACAAAAATGTTTCAAAATTCTATCTGATGACTGAAAATAAATTTGAATTCATATATTCAAGCACAAAAATGTATTTTAAAACCTGTATGTCAAGGTTGGAGTGACTACATCCCAACAATCAGGTAGACAACAGGTGTGACAGTCCTGTATCAGATGTATGTGACAGACATCAGCAACAACTATATCAGCTGATCCATTACAGGCTTGTTTATTTCATGCTATCAACACCTAGTGGTAAGGCTACCTGACTGTCCAAAGTAAAGTTTCAAAAAATACTTAAGGTAACTTTCAATTGTTTTACGATATTTGACTTAATTACCAGATATACATTTGGGGGGTTTGATATGTGATCAAATATTTGTTATCAGACTGTTGACATGTTTGTAAGAATGTCTGCATGATGTATATGTTTAGAAATCTGTGCCGATGTGTTAATTGTCATTCACTGCAGAGTTCACGCGTCTATTCATGACTGGGTCTTCTGGTTATCAGCAATATCGTAGATATGAACTGTTTACAGGTTTATTTGTGATAAACAGTGGGACAATACACACGAACCTTTGTCAACATTTATCTTGCACAATCTGTCGAAACTTGACTCGTGTGTGTTACGTTGATGTAATGGGCAGTTTGACCTTCATATGCAGGTTAATACCAATTTGTCCTCCAATTAGTACCAAATCATGTCTGATGGATCAATCACATTTCTTTAGTTTTTGCTGATTTTCCTCACTTAATGGTATGTTCTGCAATATATTTCTGTTCATTCTGCATGGATAAGACTCTTTCATATTCACCTTTACTATCAAGCTTTTATGGTAAAAGATTGACTTAGAATTTTTGCATATCATAGATATTATAATCAATCCTTTCGTATTTTTGAAAAATATGATTGATTGGTTAATTGACTAATTCACTCTTCCAGGAGGAATTGATAATATTGGGAAATGTGTAATTTCAAAATGAAAATGTTCAATAGTTTATCAAACTAATCTGAAAAGTGAGTTATTTGCATTGGAATTTTGAGTATTTCGTGTATAAACATTTATGATAAAGACTATATATTTGACTTGTACAATGATAAATGCAGTTCTTTTCAGAAACATTTTGATTGTATGTTTTTGTCATGAAATAATTTGAAGCCTTTCAAACAGGCCCCTTCAAAACTCCACCATACACAAATGTGATACCATATCTAGCCAGTAGCATCAATGACAGGGTAATGGAAATAAAGTCAGCTCATCCAAGACTGATATAATCCAGAAAAGACATGTGACATTTCCCTGTGGGTTATCACTTGTATCATTGGGTAGATCAATTTGCATAATTGTGAAAAGACAAAATAAAATTTTCATTAACTCATGTTCCTGTAGGTTCTGTATTGTACTCCAAGAGCTCATAAATCTCTTCAGGAAAATGGCACTATCTTGTTATCTGGGAACAGTGAAACAGGGTAACATTATATATTGATAAATAATGACAGTTTAGAAACAAGGTCATTGGTCACTCAGTGGTGTGACTGTGATGACCCCAATGAAGAATGGCATCTGTAGCAATGCTAGTCCTTGGTTTGAATTTCAGATTTTCACCCACACTTTGTTTCAACTGAACCATTACCCAACTAATAGTTGATAATGGCAACATAAGCCTCATTCAGTTTTAAATGAAAAATGTTTTTCACAAATGGCGTTTTGATCCCTTTTTCTTTCATTGAATGGACAACACCATGATATAATCCTGATACTGTTGATATCATAATAAAACAGGGTGGTGGGGTAGCCTAGTGGTTAAAACGTTCAGTCCTCACGCCGAAGGCCCGGGTTCTATTCCCCACCTGGGTACAATGTGTGAAACCTATTTCTGGTGTCCCCTGCCGTGATATTGCTGGATTATTGCTAAAAGCAGCGTAAAATTTGTTGTAAGAGATGACTAACAGGATTGGGTGGTCAGGCTCGCTGACTTGGTTGACACATGTCATTGGTTCCCAATTGCACAGATCGATGCTCATGCTGTTGATCACTGAATTGTCTGGTCCAGATTCGATTCTTTACAGACCGCCACCATATAGCTGGAATATTGCTGAGTGTAGTGTAAAACTAAACTTACTCACTCACTCTTATCTTTAACACCTAAGAATGATATTACCAAAACCAACAAATATCTTTGTGGTAGTATTCCAAATAATCAATATTTTTCTTTGGAAGGTATGATTTATAGGATTATGGGGTTATTCTTTTCTGATAGTTGTAAACACCATGGAGGACATCACAGGTATGCTGAACTGAAATCTGTCCGAGATCTGTCAGCCAATCACAAACTCTGCACGTAGACCCCCTTGAACACCTGTTGAATAAACATTCACATCAGCAGGAAACAGTTGTTAAGGGGAGAGGTGTATAGTCAGCCTATTCAGTCATAGTAGAAAGGAAAGCTCACCTGTAATCACCCATGACAGTCGGACAGTGGACATGCACAGAGTCACGTTGGCCTATATTGACACATCCGTGATGTTGTTTACTGGTTAGATACAATTGGTGCCTTGCGGAGAAAGACTATCCTTTTATTTTTTTATAGTTGACCCAAGTACTGCAGTACTTCATAATTCATTTTTGAAGAGGTTGTACCTAGAAATGAATTTGCTTTGTCTGTCCCAGCAAATAATTCTAAATTAAAAACTGAATAATCTAATTGTATCATTCTGGCATGTGATTGTGTACTGGCAATATTTCATTTTCAAACAAGGCAGTTATTTCAGTGTTTATTTTTTAAATGGTCACCTAACAATGTAACACAGTTACATTTCTTCCAATACATTTAAAAAAAAAAAGGAATATCACCACAAAACATGATCCCTCATTAAGCAGTGGTAACATTGTTTCTTCCATGTTCCGATGCAAGTTCAAATTGTGTCTGATATGATATAGCTTGTTCACATAGTAAGTAAATGGTGAGTTATTTATTAGACAAAAAGTGTATTTATGGCATGTATTGCTTAAATTCCTACCTCCTAAGGATCCAGACAAAGGAGTGTTTGCTTTTATAAACATGTTCTTATATACTTGTTAAGTTAAATCAGACTGGTTGGGTTTACCAAACTGTTGAAACCTTTTTGTGTAACACCTCACGAGTCACTGTGAATCGGTTCACCTGTAACATATCAATGTGGCCTTGTGTTGGTTTGAAATAGTCACACACAAAAATTGTAAACACCATCAGATATCAGTGGCCTCGATTGTCAGGAGGTGGAGCTACAGCCCACGTGACAGCCTCCATTATCATGTAAATAGATCGCAAAGGCTCCAAGGCTTCAGATAAGGTCTAGTCTATTGACAGGCACATATAGAAACCTCTGAAGGGATTAAGCCCATTCGTGTCCAGTTAAACATTGACTAATTGGAGATCTTTTACGGATCAACAAAACTTTCTACAGTACTTTTCATCATCCAGTTTTTGTTCAGTGGCAGAAACTGCAATCATGTAGAATTTGAAGTTGTTTTACTTTTCGAGACAAGTTTGTCTCAATTTGGACTTGAGGGCCTGTTTCTAAAGCCAAATATTTCAACATCGTGGACTGTGGTCATTTGTGAAATGGAGACCATTGATAATATGAACAACAACAGCAGCAGCAGTCATCCTTGGAGGTCTGACATCCGCTATGATCCACTGGTCAACTGGAATGTAATATACGAGGAAACCTCAGACACTGACATGGAGCAGAGCGATGACGCATCATTGTCCGATGACATGACACCTCGCTGCAGGAGTCCGTCGTCATCATCAGAAACAGAGACCGAAAATGATGGAGTTGAAAAACGAAGAGTTCGAAGGAGACGCAGAGCTTCCTTTGATGAGAAACTGTTTCGGAACAGGCAGATGTCCAATTCTTCTCCAGACAATCTGAATCGTCGCATGGCCAAAACATCTCCCGGGACACCAATAGAACATAACAGTCTCAAGAACTTCCACTCTGAAAACTTGTCCTCTGCATTGTTTCTGGGAAGCAGTAAGTTTGTGCACATCCTTTACTTTGGTTTATGGACATCAGTTTTGTCTCACTGGCCTTCAGTGATGTTGATTTGGAGCATTTTCATTTATGTGAACATTGAAATTGAGGTGGGCTTCTTTGTTAATAGTAAACGTCGGAATGTCTTTTTATTTTATTTTGATACATAAGCTTTGAATTTGTTATCCACAATCATTTCATGGTCTACCAACTTTGTGCCAGTCTAGTGTCAATCACAAACTGCACATGGCAATTTAGTTTGATGTTTAATTTGATAAAGGGCATGTTGGTACAGTTATAATAAATACATGGAAGGCCTCAGGTGTGTTTGTGGAACTTCTGCATTCAATCAGATGTTAAATGTTGAAAAACCTTTGTCAGCTGGCATGAATTTTTGTCAGTTGACTGAATTCAATTGCATGTCTGTTGTTTTGATGATGTCAAATGTGTCATAGGAGAAACTGCTCAATCATATCTTTACTTGATAATAATTCATGCAGAATTTCTATATATTTGTGATATGACTTTTGTTCATAGTTTATTTAATTCTTAGGGCGCAAACATATTTTCAAAGAAAGGGATGTAAACGTATATAGTTGTACATTAGTTATTTGCTGATACTCATCCCAGTCATAGGCTAGCCTAGTGGTTAAAGCGTTTGCTTGTCACGCCTGAGACCCGGGTTCGATTCCCCACATGGGTACAATGTGTGAAGCCCATTTCTGGTGTGCCCCGCCGTGATATTGCTGGAATGTTGCTAAAAGTGGCATAAAAACAAACTCACTCACGCCAGTAATGATAACCATATACATAAACAAGAAGTTTTACTAAATTTTGTACTCAAGTAATTTTCTGTAAAGTTTTGCTGCACTGAAGTAACTAACCATAGTTACTGGTTCTGGGAATGTGTAATGCTTTGTTAAAGATAATGTATTCCTGTAAAGATGATAAAAGATTTCCAGAAGGGAAGCATCCTTTCCCTATTGTTATTGCACCATATTTTTTAAGTTCATATGTTTTTAACAATGGAAACACAATTTGGAAATCATGAAAGTGAAAGTCTGAATGTATTTTCTAATTTCTGTAACCTCAAAAAGGGTAACACAGAGTATACTAGGCAACAGTTGTGGTATGTTAAACTGTAGTTGTTAAAATCATCAGTTACCTCTCATTTTGAAGTGTTAAACAAAATCATATTGCCTATCAAAGAGACTTTCTTTGATTCAGTTTTCAACTTTCTCAAAATATTTTGCAAAATGCCTGGTATGGAAGTATTCAGTTTGACACACATGTCATATAACTCAAGAAAGCAGATTTTGATTGGCTAATATTCACTTCGCTCAAAGTTGGCTCATGAAAGTTAAATCTGACGTGATCTACGATTGGATCTTTCTATATTTTATTAAGTGGTAGTGAAAACCTTAGATCTGATTTTACTGAGATTGAATGACAACTGTAGTTCTGAAACTTTCCTGTTCTCATTGATCATTGATCAATTATTGATTGATTTTCGAAGTCATGATTAGTCATGAAAGTCTAGTATCACATATGTCAGAGATATTAATTTGACTAATACAAATGATATCTGAGTTACTGTTACATTTAAATTTATAACTAACACTTGCAGAGTTATATTGTTTCACATGTTCATTATGTTGCATGTCTAACAAGAAATTACATTTGTACAGGAAATAATTCTTTGCCATTTAAAATTACAATTGTAAAAGGAATATGGTAAACTTTTATTTTCATGAACAAAAACGTTCATTTGACCAAAGTCTATGATGAAAATGACATTAATGTTATTGATTAGGAAACTTATCAATGGTGATCGTCATGGTGATGATAGAAGATAAGGGATATTAATCAAGATGCATGTTTCTGTCTCTAATGATATTACCCAACAGAACACAATATCTAATTGAAATGTCAATGTCTAAACTTTGAATTCAAGTAAAAAAATCTAAGAAGCGTTGGACACATTTTAAAACAATGTTGTTAAAGTTCCAAATTGAACCAGACTGTCTGAACAAGTTATTATTGTCAGATGATGATATTAAGTGAAATGTCATCACTTATCATTGTTTAAGCTGACATAAGGATCAGTTGATACTTGGTAACTGATAACAATGTGCTTCATCACAGTGTCATCGTTATATCACGTGATTTGGAATCAAACTTCAACACGATTAGATAAGTAAAAAGCTGACGCACTGGGAGGGTCCTAGATATGTGTGTTGCCCACCAGATTATGAGAATAAATGAATATAAGTCGAACCAGTACCATACTTTGCTGTACAAACACTTGATTAAAAAACCTGATGGGTAGCCAAGTGGTAAAGGTATTCCTGTAAGCTTAAAGAAGGACAGAGTTTGTTGGTTTTAACACTCACGAGAACAATGCGTGTGTAGCCCATTTCTGGGGTCTCACTGTAATGTGGGGTGGTGGGATAGCCTAGTGATTAAAGCGTTCACTTGTCACGCTGAAAACCCAGGTTCAATTCCCCACATGGGTACAATGTGTGAAGCCCATTTCTGGTGTCCCCCGCCGTGATATTGCTGGAATATTGATAAAAGTGGCGTAAAACTAAACTCACTCACTCATTCACTGTGATGTTGCTGGATTGTCAAGATTCATCTGGATTAAAATTAATCAATTTTATGGAAATGTCTTTTACAAATGTGACTTGAAATCGATCCTGTCAATGTTTTGCAACAGATGTTCACTGCAAATCAGTCAAAAAGTCAACATGTCTGCCTTTCACTGAGTGATGTGATATGTACATATCTGCCTGACTACATCATGATGGGGATGTTGTTTTATTATATGTTGTATTTAATAAACTGGGAAGTTTGCCTTTACTTATCCAGGAGAAACATTGCAATGTTCAGACTGGTATATATATATTTGTGAGGTGTTAAAGTACCTCAGTTTGTAGAATTACAATGAAGCTTGGAAGAGTAATGAATTAGCACCTGATAGTGCAAGGCAACTCACCTTGAAGTTAAGTTTCGATACACATTTATCACTTCTTCACATGTCGTGTTGATTTTATGAGTGCTTCCAGTGAGGGTGAATTTACACTGAGGCGCGTTTCTCATATAAACTGCCTATGCATGTTGTGGAGCAGTTTAAAAGTTGCTGTCAACTGCCTTGCCCATTTTAAATGTTGTCTGGGGTTTTTTAAATATGAGCCCAGTCCTGTATGCTTCTTAGTCATGTAATGCCATGTGCCAACCCAAGTAATTTGGGGTATCCTAGTGGTTAAAGCGTTCGCTCGTCACGCTGAAGACCCTGGTTTGATTCCTAACATGGGTACTGTGTGTGACGCCAATTTCTGGTGTCCCCCGCCGTGATGTTGCTGGCATATTGCTAAAAGCGGTGTAACACTAAACTCACTCTAATTTGTTGGTTTGTTCAATGGTCTGATGTTGAAGTGTGTGTATTATTTATTTAGCGAATCCTAAGCTTTAGCTGTTGTATGTGGTGCATTGTTTTCAGGTGGCGCACTGTGTTTGTACTTAATTATTGATATGGTTCCTTGTCCAGTGTTGTATGACGGACAGAGTCAAAGTATGGCATGGTACTGCTGTCTGAATTCTTTTGTTGTGAATGGAAGCAGTGGAACTAGGAGTGTCATGATCCACCAGTGCATCAAATCTATCGATGTGTCACAGATTTACATCTGCCAGTATGATACACAATATCACTCCCATGTATTGATTCAAGTTTTGATTTTGTAGTAATTCTACTTTTAATTTTTTTCTTTTTTATTGACTTTATTTCCATTTTAAGAATTGACATTGACAGGCAAAACTTTCATCTTATGATACATAATTATGAATCTTGAAAGAAAAACACTATGAAAAATGTTTTTGAGCTAATGAACAGAATGAGTCTGACAAACAACCAGTTGTCAGCTGGGAATTGTGAAACTTACAGATCTTCGTGCTAAAACAGTGAAATGTTGATATGTGTATCATATCATGACTCACAGGTTACTGAATTGATACTTGAGGTAGACGTATAGTGATATCTCTAAATGGAAAACATTTAAGGTGTGCAGTCCTTATTTTAAACAAAATGATGATGATGATGATGATGATGATGATGATGATGATGATGATGATGACAGCTGCCTTTGATCATGCTTGGAGGATACCACAAGAAAGTTTTAATACATTTGATTCAATCTTTTCAGAGCAGCCTGAAGAATGATGTTGCTTCCTGACAAGTTATTGACATATATTAACGCCCTATTTTGTATATTTCAGTCCTATGTGCGGACCGGGTAACACAGATGACCCGCACATACAATGACATTGGGGCTCTTACTCGTATGCTTGAAGAGGTAACATTTTGCTTTTTGTAACATTTTAATTAAATCCGGTTTTTGAACAAGGGCAGTATACTCATTTACTTGTACACTTTTCAATATTTGTCGCACTCAGCAATATTTCAGCTATATGACACCGGTATGGAAGTAATCAAATTTGGGCCAGACAACCTAGTGACTGACATCATGAGCATCAAAGTGGGAAAAGATGACATTTATTTCACCAAGTTGTCAAGACTGACCACCCTGTCATGTTAGTCACATCTACAATGTTTGGCTGAAACTACTTCCTTCTCCCCCACACCTTCATGGGTGCATTTACCTTCAACACAGGGGCTGTGGGGTAGCCTCATGGTTAAAGCGTCTGCTCGTCATGCTGCAGAACCTGGTTCGATTCCCCACATGGACACAATGTGTGAAGTCCATTTCTTGTGTCCTCGACTTGATATTGTGGGAATATTGCTGGAATATCGCTAGAAGCAGCATAAAACCATACTCACTCACTCACTACACTATACACATCTACAATGTGCCATTTACCCTGGTACAGATGTAATTGCTTTGGGCCTTAACTAAGGATACAAACATCTGGCATGTGATTTTCACAGAGAGGTAAAATGTTCCCACGTTACCTACAAACATGAACTTGTTTCCCATTTCAAAGCACTTTCCAAAATAAAGAAGAATGTGGGAATGTTCTTTCTGATAACCATTGTTGCATAATGCCTAACCAGAGAGTTCTAAATCAACCTGATCAATGTAGTATTTTGGAGGATTGAATTTCTGTTTTGAACTATACCTGTTTCTTGAGATGAATTAATAGCATATTTAATCTGAACTGTGTTTGTCTGTCTGTCTGTCTTAATGTGAAGTGTAATCTGTATGTTATGAATACCCTGAGTTGGCCTATTGTGTTAAAGGTAAAGCCCAGTTTGTATTTCCCATTCTTGTCATATAAGAGAGGCTACTCATAATGGAGTAGTCTAGTGTTAAAGCGTTCGCTCATCACGCCAAAGACCCAGGTTTGATGCCCCACATGGGTACAATGTGTGAAGCCCATTTCTGGTGTCCCCTGCTGTGATGTTGCTAAAAGTAGCGTAAAACCAAACTCACTCACTCACGCTTGTCATAAGAACACCTAAAGAGGATTGGGTGACAGCATGGATCTTTGCTCTAGCTTTCAGGCACTGGTACCAATTGTCCAAACCTGATGATTTGAGTTTCGTGTTGTATTTGGAATATTGATAAATGAGACATTAAGAAGTTGTGCTTGTTCAGAACTAATTTAAGTAATTTTAGCTTACAAGTTTCCAACTTAATGATCCAATATAATTAACATGTATTCTGAAATATATTGTGTGAAGAAGTCTGGCTTGATATGTTATTTCCAAATGCATGTGCTATAATTACACGCACCAGACAACTAAGTTGCGTAAGTTACATGGGTTGAATAACTTTACCACCTTTTCATGTCATCACAGTTACCACATGACCCACTCAGGTGCCAAGTACACGGGCCGGGAGATTGACCGACAATTGATAAGGATAAACTCTGATAAACTGAAGTTAAAATGGCCATACTGAATGAACTTTGTAATTTGTATGGCTTTTATTTGTTGTTTTTCACATGGTTTGATTCAAGAACCAAATGACTAATTGTGGAACATGGTTGCAATAAGATTTGACTAAAATGTGAATTGGGTGGTCAGGAACATAGGCAGTGTAAAAAGGAAATCCTCTGTGCTTATGCTATCGTCCCCTGGTTTGTCTAAACTGACATCATCAATCATTTCATGCCTACGTAATATTGTTGACTGTGAAGTCCTCTTCACATCACTTTCTTCATTCACAATCAATCTGCCCCTCACTCTGCAGGCATTTGAAATAGGCAGTCATGCTAGTCACCAAAATAGGCTCCCTAACTGGCACCACCAAAATAGGCTCCCTAACTGGCACCACCAAAATAGGCTCCCTAACTGGCACCACCAAAATAGGCTCCCTAACTGGCACCACCAAAATAGGCTCCCTAACTGGCACCACCAAAATAGGCTCCCTAACTGGCACCACCAAAATAGCCTCCCTAACTGGCACCACCAAAATGGGCTCCTAACTGGCACCACCAAAATAGGCTCCTAACTGGCACCACCAAAATAGGCTCCCTAACTGGCACCACCAAAATAGGCTCCCTAACTGGCACCACCAAAATAGGCTCCCTAACTGGCACCACCAAAATAGGGCTCCCCTAACTGACACCTCACCAAAATAGGCTCCTAACTGGCACCACCAAAATAGGCTCCCTAACTGGCACCACCAAAATAGGCTCCTAACTGGCACCACCAAAATAGGCTCCCTAACTGGCACCATCAAAATAGGCTCCCAAACTGGCACCACCAAAATAGGGCTCCTAACTGGCACCACCAAAATGGGCTCCCTAACTGGCACCACCAAAATAGGCTCCCTAACTGGCAACTGGCACCACCAAAATGGCCTCCCTGGCTGGCACCACCAAAATAGGCCTCCTAACTGGCACCACCAAAATAGGCCTGCCCTAACTGGCACCACCAAAATAGGCTCCCTAACTGGCACCACCAAAATAGGCTCCTAACTGGCACCACCAAAATAGGCTCCCTGCACCACCAAAAATAGGCTCCCTAACTGGCACCACCAAAATAGGCTCCCTAACTGGCACCACCAAAATAGGCTCCCTAACTGACACCACCAAAATAGGCTCCCTAACTGGCACCACCAAAATAGGCTCCCTAACTGGCACCACCAAAATAGGCTCCCTAACTGGCACCACCAAAATAGGCTCCCTAACTGGCACCACCGAAAAATCAAATAAAATGGTCCCACAACACGTACCAGCAAAAGGCATCCACAATAATCATTGCAATTAGACACCTGTAATAGGCACCAACAATAGGCACACTTAATAGCTACCAACATGAGACAACTGAAATTGGCACCAAATCGGGCCAAACTGCGTCTCCCCCTGACATACATGACACGCCACCACAAGTTGCACATGTGTGTGTGACAGGCGCTGCCTCTTATCTCCATTATCTGGGACAGCTGTCATGTAATGGTATTTGTCAGTCCTTCAAACAGAAACTACAATCATACAGCCATTCATATCAGTACTTCTTATACTTCATGATCCATGCCCTACATTCTCTTATCAGTAGTTGGTTTTTTTCATGTCCTTTGAGCCAGTCTGAAAATAGAAACATTTGTAAAAGCCCACTCATTTCACATATGATAAGCATGCATGTCAAGCCAAGGCCGCTTAAAATTGATTAAAGGTTCTTATGATTTATTTTTTCCAAAATTATTATTATTATTTTTTATTCTTTAGGAGTCATGTTTTTGCCAGAAAGCTGTATTTTATTTCAAAATGCATCTCATTTGCAATATGTTTTCTGTTAGTTATATGAAAAATGTACTTCTTTAATGAGGACATTGCTAACAGAAGGTCCACAGACTTGTTCACTTTAAATTATCATTGACCCATGAAGATCTGGGTTAGAATTGGTCTTCAGTGACCCATGCTTGTCGTAAGAGGTGGATCAGGTGGTCAGGCTCGCTGACTTGATTGACACATGTCATCGTACCCCAATTGCGTAGATCGATGCTCATGCTGTTGATCACTGGATTGTCTGGTACAGATTGGATTATTTACAGACCAGCACCATATAGCTGGAATATTGCTGAGTGCGGCGTTAAACAACAACAACCAATCAGGTTTCATCCAATATTAAGCCAACAAGCGATTGAAATAATGCTAAAGTGTCATAAAACTTACACACTCGTCCTTTGACAACAAATATTTCTTCTGCCATGGCCTTAGTACAACTATATGTTTTTAAATTGTTCAACAGTAAGTGTCCCAGATACAATACCTTTTAAAAAATCACTACACTGCTGATTTTGAATTCTAATATATCACCGTCTTATCTTGTTTTGCAACAAACAGAAAAAAAGGAAAGATTTATAGATTAAGCTATTACCTTGTTCAAATATAGAATATTTTCATTCTGATAACCCCACAAACAGGAAGAACATTCCAGTAGAGTTTTTCTGCTTCCCAGTGGTGTTGTTTATGGGCTGGGATTTATCATGTTTTAAAGGGCAGTGCCCCAGATAATTTGTTTTACCATATCTTATGCAGTACTGGTCAACATTAGAACTGATTAGCTCAAGAAATACTTTTGTCAAACCCATAATGCTTTTTTGTTAAATTTGTAAGTATTGGTATGATATTGACATTCGGGTTTTGTTCCAAAGTGACGAAAACATGTCAGAAGTCAGAGAATTTTAGTGCATTGTTATTAGCCAACACAATTCAAGAAGAAACACATTTAACAATGTAGAGCGTTTTTTTTTTTAGTATAAATAACGTACAGTAAATCATGATATTTAACTAAGCAGATAACCTATATGGACAGCCAGTTACCTTGAGCATAGTTACCCCTTTAAGTCCACTGATAACCTTTAGCCTCCTTCAAATCAATAATGCATTTCTTCACTGCTGGTTTGTGGATTTAAGGAAAAATGCGTCCAGTCAAAGCTATATTTTATCCCATATATTACACCACAAGAACAATATACAAGCTGTACAAGCTGGGAGGAATGTTTGGCTGCTTCAAAGCTATGGCATGTGCAAAGACTAACTGGATGATACTGTTCGACTTTATGACCAACAAGTGTGTTATCTTTAAAGGTGGTCTGACTGATAAGTGATGAACATTTTGAATATTCTACAATGAAATCCTAGTCCTAGTCATAGTCCTTAGCAACCCATGCTTGTTGTAAGAGGCGACTAACAAGTTTGGGTGGTCTGGCTAATTGACTTGGTTGACACATATCATTGTCTCCCAATTGCGAGGATCGATGCTCATGATGTTGATCACAGGATTGTCTGTCCAGACTCGATTATTTACAGACCGCCGCCATATAGCTGGAATATTGCAAAGTGCAGCATAAAACAACAAATATACCAAACCAAAATCTCCTTCCCTTAGTGCAACATATGCCCCTGTTGATTAAATTTTGAAAGGAAATATGTTTTCCTGAGTTAAAAATTGATGTGGGTAATATGTCCAGTCAAGTATAACAAATTGATATGAGTTATTAAAATGCATAAATGGAGCTGTTTTTGTCATGGTACGGCATGGTTCAGGCCCAGTGTGGCAAGTATGCTCAAAGGGACAGCTTGTATAAGATTGATTGAGGCAGGCACACCTGTTTTGTCCATTAAACCTGATGAATTTTATATATACATGACATGTACTATGATATGAAATAGTCCTGTGGTGTACCTTCATCAATTTTTGTTGTTTTTAACAGAAAGAGCGTGACTTAGAACTTGCAGCCAGAATTGGACAGACCCTTCTTGAAAAGAATAAAGACTTGACTGAGCGTAGTGATATTCTTGAAGAGCAACTGTCTGCAACTAATGACAAGGTAATGTCTGCTGTGTCTGTTATGCTGGAGTTGCCATGGTGACCCAGATTTGTCAACCCAGGCCGTGTTTTGTTTGCATTTTTGGCCATGTCATCACTGGCACCTTCCTGTGAAGTTGTGTCCTTTAGCTGTGTCAGGATCTGCTGATTAGCATTCATATCACAGATTCAGACAGATTGTTTGTTTGTCAGCACCATGACCATGCAGGTTCTGCCCACCTGGTGACATGGAGGCCTCTGCTACTTCAGGCTGAAATACTTTTCTCTACTGTGTTGAACCAGCTCTCTCACAAACTTCTTTCTTGTAGTCCAAGGTCTTTCATTGAAATTGCTTGGCTGGTAAGTTCTGTGTATCTCACGGCCCGTGAAGATCCGGGGTAGAATAGACCCGAATGGGATCGGGTGGTCAGGCTCGCTGACTTGGTTGACACATGTCATCGGTTCCCAATTGCGCAGATCGATGCTCATGCTGTTGATCCCTGGATTGTCTGGTCCAGACTCGATTACTTACAGACCGCCGCCATATAGCTGGAATATTGCTTAGTGTGGCGTAAAACTAAACTCACTCACTCACTCACTCACTCACTGTGTATCTCACAAGTGGAGATTTGTCAGGTACATTGTCTGGTTGGTAGACCAACCCTTTGGTTTGACTCAGCTGGACGTGTGCTCATACCAGTGACCATCGTGTGTTCAGTTTGGGTTGTCCATCAGACGTCATAACAGATATAAAATAAGATGTTTAAACTTCCTTTCAGGTCAGCCAGCTCCGCCATGATGTGTCTATGAAAGATGAACTCCTCAAGTTTTACTGTCAAGATTACGACAATGAAGCAGAGTCAGATGCAAGCTCACCTGGGTATGTTCCTGCTTTATACCATTAAGGGGATCATCCCAAGCTTGTCTCCCTTTTGGTTCCCAGACAGGAGAGTACCCAGTACCTCATGTGTCTCCCTTTGGGGTCCCAGATAGAATAGTACCTAATACCTCATGATATCTCCCTTTGGATTCCCAGATAGAATACATTGATAAAATATACATTGTGAATACACATTAATCAAATTGCACCATGCCATTAAGATAAATATACATGTTTTTGTACCAAGCTGACAACAATTATTACCTTACAATGATACTAAAACGAAGAATCATTTAAAATCACTTTTTCACGAACTCGGTTGAGTTGAATGATTGTAATGTATAAATATATTTTCAGTGAAAGCAAAGGCTTCAACCTCAAACTGGTTAACATTGACTCACTGCAGAAAAAGGTGTCAAGCTTAGAGGAAGAAAATGTACACCTCAAAGTTGAGGTGAGATCTTGGTTTTGCACTAACATTTTCTTCTGATTATAAAATCATAAATCATACACTTAAAGAGTACTGTAAGATGTCTCCATTTATTAAATCACAAGGATATTTTTGTAATTCTGTAGCTATTTGTCATTTCTTTCATGACTGAAGCATATTATAACAAGTATCAGTTTATGTGCATACATTGGAGAAAGAAAACATCAGCTGACACATGTTAAGACACCTGTGTAGTACCATGTGTCATAACACATGATGGACCCAGGTTGTTTTAGTGTCACAACCCAAATGGTATGCTCACAACATTGACCACTGGTTTTTGTAGTTTTGACTTCTCGCAGGATGCTATAATGTATTTTGATATAGAGCCTTCATCTGTTGTTAAATCTCTTAATGTGCTCTCTAAAGACTAATGCGTTGTCACATGTTATCATAGCCAAATTGCATAGATCAGTGCTCATGCTGTTGATCACTGGATTGTCTGTCCAGACTTGATTGACCGCCTCTGTGGTGTAGTGGTTAGAGCATCCGCCTGGAGAGCAGGAAGGTCACGGGTTCGATCCCCGGCCGCATCATACCAAAAGACGTTAAAATATGGTACTTGTTGGTCCCTGCCTGGCGCTCGGCATTAATGGGTACAACAAGGACTGGTCGGCTCGGAGTCAGTATAATGTGTCTGAGTGGGATATTCATGCTTCACTGTGTCATGGTATCTCAGTGGGCTAGCACTATAAAACCAGCTTAAGTCTGGGCTAGTACAAGCAGCCGCACACATACACATACACACGCATGCACGTCGTCATATGAGCGAAATATTCTCAAGCACGACGTTAAACCCAATTTCACCTCACCTCACCTCCAGACTTGATTATTTACAGACCGCCCCCAATTAGCTGGAATATTGCTGAGTGCGGCGTTAAACAACAAACAAAACAAACACAAGATGTCGATGTATATGTGTGACTGCAGGTGTCACTGTAATCTATGATGTATCAGGACTATTGTCTAGTCGAGAAATCTCACAAGATGTTGGTATATACCCTTAATACTGGTAATGAAGCAGGCACAGACCCTCTAACATACCATCTCGTCATGTTACAGAGCAGCCAGCTGAAGTCGGAGACCGCCAACTATGAGGAGAAGGAGAAGAAGCTGGTGGAGGACTGTCTCTCCCAGTTGGGTCAGTACCAACTCAGTTTACCTGTCATCACGGGTTCGAATCTCAGATTCACCCTAATTACGTTTGCCACCATCCAAAGCTCTTAGATTTCCCACTGCAGTAAAAGGCACTCCTGCAACATAATGTGATTGACTATGGTATCAAACCCGTGTCACTCACTGAAATGGGGACTTGATGTAGGCAGAGACTTGGTGCGCTAAGCATGGGAGGGTGGCAGGTAGTAGAGAAAAAACATTTTATATTTTGAGGGATACCTGACATTTTGGTAGGGAGGGATTTCAGAATTTTAAAAAAAATTGTTAACAGAATGTGCAGGGAAAAACTAATTTTAGCTCATTTTACACCCAGAATTTTTTTCTTTTCCTGACCTTTTCTATTCATGTTTAACTGTCTCATTACAGCGGAGGTCAACATGCAAGTGGAGACCTTTGCCGAGGAGTGTGCACGGAAGTCCGAGGAGTCCGCCCGACAGAAGGAGGAGATCACAGCACTGTTGGCACAGGTTGTCGACCTGCAGAAGAGAGTCCGATGTGTAAGTAGATAAAACATTGTTGCATTTATGGTGGATACACCAAATATGAATATTACACTTATTGTACAGTCATGTCAGTGTAGAAAATGTGTAGGCATCAAATAATTCAAGGCCAAAGAGATCAATGTTGTACATCTGGCTTACACAGTTTCGAGAAACAAGTAATGTAATGTAAATGTGACAGTTTCATGTAGGTTACCGTATTACCTCATAAAGATGATGCAGTGCAAGAACAGGCAGGAACCAAGACTTCAGTGCAGGAGATGGTTGATGATGTAATGAAGAGTAGCTCCCTCTTAACTTTAACATTATATGGGCTGTGGGTAAGCCTAGTGGTTAAAGCATTTGTTCACCATGCCGAAGACACAGGTTCGATTTCCCTCATGGGTTCAAAGTGTGATGACCATTTCTGACGTCGATGTCATGATATTGCTGGAATATTGCTGAAAGTGGCATAAAATCATATTCACTCATTCACATCAACTTAAGACACTCTGAATTGTAGACAAGGGGAGATAATCTCAGACTTAGTTTAATTTCTTGTCGATGTGTTCTGTTATGTCCAAGTCGACAGTGTGTCCTGTATTTAGATTGTATGATTTGTGTCTGCAGCTGACCATTGAGAACATGGAGCTGTCCAAACACCTGCAGGCCTCCCAGGAGTCCCAGCGCAAGCTTACTAAAGAGGTAGGCATCTTCATTTCATTTCTTATAGGACCAGATACGACCTGCCCACCAGATTTGGTCTTTTGGTTTGGCCTGAAATAACAAAATATTTGTCTGTACTATTTGCCATTTTTATTTATTTGTTTGTTTCTTTGGATAGTTTTGGGGTGGTGTTTTTAAAAGTTCAAATGATATTGATAATTTTCATATTCTGGAGAAAAAATCATTGTGATCTACAGAAATAACAAGTCCAGTTTGCAGCGATTTAGTAGTGTGATGATATTTTAGTTTAAATGAAAATTGTCACTTCTATTTGATAACTCATGAAGAATGTGAAGTTGTTTTAGGGGAATGTAATTTATTAGCAGCATTTGCTGCTAGTCTCCTTGACAAAGTACAAATACACGATTTAATTCATTATGATATTTTCATAGCTGTAATATTGCTGACAGTATTGTAAAACAATCTTCACACACTTAATGTGGACCAGTGAAGATCTGGGCTAGAATTGGTCTCCAGTAACCCATGCTTGTAAGAGGCGACTAACGGTATCGGGTGGTCAGGCTCACTGTCTTGGTTGACACATGTCATCGTATCTCAATTGCGTAGATCGATGTTCATTTTGTTTATCACTGGATTGTCTGGTTCAGACTCGATTATTTACAGACCGCTGCCATATAGCTTGAATATTGCTGAGTGTGGCGTAAAACTAAACTCAATCACTTAATGTGGCATCATTCTTATGTTTGCTATGTAACCATGGCAACAAGCTACCACTTTCAACTATTCTCTCCTTTCCTCGCAGCTCGGCTACCGCCAAGACAAGTATGATGAGTTGCTGGAGGTACTGGCTGACGCCCAGGAGGAGCTGAAGACCCTGAGAGGGAAGCAGCGCCCTGGCGTCAGTCGCCAGTATCTGTCCAGCTCCCTGCTCAACGTCCCGTCCGACTCCTTGGCTTCCGAGCTGGAGCTGTCTCTCAGGAGCGACCTTGACTACCCCAAAGGATTCTCCCCATCAGAGAGGAAGTATGTAGCATAATCCAGTGACAAAACCTTCTCATTATCTGCCAAACCTTCTCATTATCTGCCAAACCTTCTCATTTGCATCTATTCTTGTCCAAGGTAGCCGAGTCAATGATAGTTTGAATAAGTATATAATCAATATGGCAAGAAAGCTTTCGGATAATATATTTTGATATGTGTAATTCGGTAATTTCTGCATCATGCTCCAATATCTGTTTGGTCATCATCTTTTATACCTTATGATATGAATCTACATTTGCTAGTCACCATAGTCATACATACTGAGTAACACGTAATATATCCTGTCAGGGCCCACAACTGGAAGATATTCGAGACAGCCAAGGCTGCGAAGAAGGCCAGCAAGAAAAGCCCCAACAGCGCATCCCCTGGGTCCAACTCCCTGAGTCCCAGCGGAGCCGAGAGTGACTCTGCATCAGGACTCAACTCGAAGAGAGCCTCCTTCTACATGTCTGAGACCGAGTCTGCTGATGGCTACAGTGCAGATCTGGACAGCCTGCATGGGTTAGTGGAACATTTCAAACACATCTTGTTAGAATGAATGTTGGACTAGGGTCCCAGTATTCTATGTGTGATCTTACCCTGATGGCATCGAGGCTGCTTATGTTATCAACCACTGGATGGTCTGGTCGAGTGAATGAGTTTAGTTTTATGCCGCACTCAGCAACATTCCAGCTATATGGTGGCAGTCTGTAAATAATCAGGTCTGGACCAGACAGTCCAGTTATCAACAGCATGAGCATCAATCTACGCAAGTGGGATACGATGACATGTGTCAACCAAGTCAGCGAGCCTGACTACCCGATCCCATTAGTCGTCTCTTACAACTTGATTGCTGAAGATCAATTCTAACCCGGCTCTTCATGGGTAGTATGGTTGAGCAACAATTTCTTACAGGCTGCAATTGCAGGACATGAGGTGTCCTTTTTCAAAATATCTCAAAATTGCATTATTCATGAAAAGACCAACTACCACAGGCATGTTTTAAAGTCGAAAACACCCCAGGTTTGTGTTGAACTGCCTCATGACAGAGACTTGCTATTGTTGAAACTGAATGATATCAGAACTACGTACCTTCCATCAGATCCAACCCTGACCTGGGTCGACCTGGCATCCCCGGCTCTAATGACCTGGAGACATCCCTGAAGCGTCTGGCCATGAGACGAGCCAATGAGCTGAATGAGAGAGACTACAGGGAAGATGAGGACAGGAGGAAACACAGCCAGTCGAGGTGAGGGTCGGGCAGGGACACGGAGGGTGGGAGGGGTGTGAGGGACACGTGAGGGAGGGGTGGGAGGGACACCTGAGGGAGGGGTGGGAGGGACACCTGAGGGAGGGGTGTGGAGGGACACGGTGAGGGAGGAGGGACATTGAGGAGGGGGGTGGGAGGGACACGTGACGGAGGGGGTGGGAGGGACACATGAGGGAGGGGTGGGAGGGACACGTGAGGGAGGGGTGGGAGGGACACCTGAGGTATGGGGTGGGAGGGACACCTGAGGTATGGGGTGGGAGGGACACGTGAGGGAGGGGGTGGGAGGGACACCTGAGGTATGGGGTGGGAGGGACACGTGAGGGAGGGGGTGGGAGGGACACCTGAGGGAAGGGGGTGGGAGGGACACCTGAGGGAGGGGTGGGAGGGACACCTGAGGGAGGGGGTGGGAGGGACACTGAGGGAGTGGGGTGGGAGGGACACGTGAGGGAGGGGGGTGGAAGGGACACGTGAGGGAGGGGGTGGGAGGGACACACGAGGGAGGAGGGGTGGGAGGGACACCTGAGGTATGGGGTGGGAGGGACACGTGAGGGAGGGGTGGGAGGGACACGAGGGACGGAGGTATGGGGTGGGAGGGACACATATGAGGGAGGGGGTGGGAGGGACACGTGAGGGAGGGGTGGGAGGGACACGTGAGGGAGGGGTGGGGAGGGACATGGGTGAGGGTGGGTGGGAGGGACAGGGACTGAGGGAGGGAGGGACAAGTGAGGGAGTGGGTGGGAGGGACACCTGAGGTATGGGGTGGGAGGGACACCTGAGGGAGTGGGGTGGGAGGGACACGTGAGCAGGGATGGCAATGGGAGGGACCGGATCCACATAGTTAAGTTTTGGGGTTGCCATTCCTGAGTGAGGGAGGGGGTGGGAGGGACACGTGAGGGAGGGGTGGGAGGGACACCTGAGGGAGGGGTGGGAGGGACATGTACGGGAGGGGGGAGGGAGGGACAAGTGAGGGGAGGGGTGGGAGGGACACCTGAGGGAGTGGGTGGGAGGGACACGTGAGCAGGGATGGCAATTTTCCCATGCCGGATCCAAGAGAGTTAAGTTTTCAGCTGAAAATGGATTTTCCTGTTGCCATTCCTGAGTGAGGGAGGGTGGGAGGGACACGTGAGGAAGGGGTGGGGAGGGACACCTGAGGGAGGGGGTGGGAGGGACATGTAAGGGAGGGACACATGATTGAGGCTGTTGGAGGGACATGTGAGAGAGGAAGTCGGAGAGGCACGCGAGGGAGGAGTTGGGACACATGAGGGTGAAGACACTGAGGGAGGTACGATAGAGAGGGTTATGGGTTGGACACAGGGTCGATGGGGTGGAGACACATGAGGGTTGATGGGGCACATATGACTTGGCAGTGACACAGCAGGACACATTTAGTTTATGTATCATTTCATGGGTTTGGCCAAAATCTATCAATCTGTAAACAAAATATGAACAGTTGACATATTGTTTTCTCTGTTTGACTGCTATTTCTTCAGATAAGAACAGAAATGTGAACTATTTAAATTATGTAACTGACATAGTCTGATGCCACAGCAATCACCTAATGTAGAGGTTAAAACCTTCGCTGACAAAGTAAGTACGTGTTTGGATAGTAATCACTGTGAACATTCCATCTGAAACAAGCATGTTTATTGTCTTCTAGTGCAACACCTCGCACCCCTGAGAGTGTGCCGTCCCCTGGCAGTGGTCTGTCCTTCCTCTCCTTCCCAGGCAGCACCTCCTCCTCCTACTTCAAGATCCCTGACAAACTGCAGATTGTCAAACCCCTGGAAGGTGAGTAACATTTTCATTAGTCCAACTTCAGGACACATATCTTTCTTCTTGGTTTCCAAAAGTTGTGTTAAAAATGAATAATAATTATGTTTTAGGCAATTTGTCCTTCAAAGCATGAAAGTATACTATTTCTGTTTTCAAAAATGTTGACCAAAACGGAACAATCTGGCCCTGTGTTATATTCTACATGGGAAGAAAGAATCAATATTTTGATCACCAGGATTTAATGTTATTACACTTGAGTGTGCAATTTTGTGTTAACCTGTCCAACATTTTGTAGGGATGCCACATTTCTGTGTGTCAACCGGGCGTGGGGTAGCCTAGTGGTTAAAGCAGCCCCGAAAAACTGAAATACTTTGTTGAGTCCAAGACAAAACCTAGCATCATACAACCCTGTCTTACTCAAACCAATGTACATTGCAGGTTCTGCTACGCTGCGGCAGTGGCAGCAGCTGGCTACACCCAACCTTGGGGGCATCTTCGAGGAGCGCCCCGGGGTGCAGATCAAGGGGGAGAGGAACCTAGACCTGCAGGAAGAAGTGTACACCCTCAGCGACTTTGAGGAAGATGGTACGTTGGAGATGTCTAATGTTGTACTCACATATATCTGTTCAAGATCTGAATACATTGACTACTGCAGGATCCATCAGTTATCTGTAGCTTTTAAGTCTTGTCTTATTGTCAAGATTTAAGCCAATTTGTGGTTTGAAAAATGTGGAAATGAAATTGCTGTTATCCAATCTTGTAGTTAGTAAATTGCTTGATGATGGCAGAAATATTTTTGTGATAAGAAATGAACTTCAATGACTGTAAACAAGGTACTGTTCCACAAAGCCATCGTAACTCCCGTACTCTGACCTTGAGTTTCAATCATCATAGCCTTGTGGTCAAAGAGTGGTCTTACTGCTACAGATATCATAATGTGTATTGAAGTAAAGGATCGGTGACTGCCAGAGCGTTGCAGTATCTTTTGGGGAAAGTTGCGAAGTGCTTTGATGTCTGCATTGCTGAAGAAGAGTTTGTGTTAATTTCAGATGATATCTCTGAATGTCCAAGTCGGCGCTTTGAGGAGAGCTCCACAATCTTCACACTGACCGACTCCATGGTGAAGAATCCCAACGATTACTTTATGCTGGCCCCATCAGCAAGGTGAGCAGAGAATTATACGTCAAACAAGCTGGTTGATGCCCTGGGCATCAGAGAGAAACTTCTTTGTAAACTCAGGCCATGGGTGGCTTAGTCCAGTAATTCAATGTACAGAGTTGTTTCCCTTGGGCACTTTGGAAACCCATGATCATGGTTTCGAATGCCCTCCTCCCTGATTGTGTTTCAAGGTTCATCATTACTGTACCTTTGCTTTAGGGTTTCACAAAGTGGTAAACGTGTCAGACCTGCTTTCCTCCAACATGGAGTTGGTATGTTGTCATATAACTTCAATACTGACCAAAGTAGCCTTAACCAAACTCATTGCCTTTGTGCAGTCAGTACGTCAGTTTTGGGTTTTGGAAGCTCGGTAGTCAAATTGGTTCCTCCATTTTATCACTCCACTCAAATATCAGAATCACTAAGCAATGTACTTGACTGAAATGTTTTGCTGCCATGAAATGTGAACTTTGATATTACCTGTTTTCAGCACTGAGAGCATCAACAACCAACCCAGCATTGCATCATCGACTACTCCAGTGATGTCTACACCAAAAGGGAGGATGGCTTCAATGAAAGGGAGCAACACTTCTACGTACAGCATGTCTCTGGGGCTGGCAGCCATCTTGCAAGAGCGGGATCTCGCCAAGCCTGTGGAGCGGAAGCCGGGCATGCCCTACAACCATTCCTTCCCTTCCCGTGTTCAGTCTATTGTTACCGAGACACCATACTCTCCTGCAAAACCAGCTCTGGAAGTGTCAACAACTTCAGCTCCATCGACACAGAATGATGGAACCACGACATCATCAAGTATGGCGTCAACCCCTACCGATGGTGGGTTCTTGGACAAACTAAAACACACAGGGTTTTCCATCTATGGCTTCCTTGGTGGCGCTAAGAGTGAGGATTCAGATTCCTCATCATCAGACACGGCAACCGTCTCCTCACCGACCAGCAGTGGCAGCATCACCACCACAACAGTAGAAGGAGCAACAGCATCTGCAGGAGCAACGTCTCCCAACAGTGACAAAAATATAACCCGGAAACTGCTTACCCAGGGTGCATCAGCAGGGGTCCTTGGAGCGATAACTTCCTTCAGGAGAAGCGGAATTCTGTAAACTCTTGTAGCCGTCTCAAGACCACAGACATTTATATAATGAGGAAGTGGACCCAAAATATTCCAGAATGAAATAATCAACATAGACTTGTGTGTTGCCCCTCGTCTTTCATGTGTGATTCAGTCAGAAGTTGATTAGCATAATTACGAGATCTCTGAGCTTTACTTCATTTAATTATCTTCCAGGTTACCTCAGTCATGTCTCAGTCAATGATTTTGGAAATATGGGTTAATTCAAAAATTTGTTCTAGATTTGAACACACTCATTTCAATTTCAGGAAGTGGAATGAGAATGATCTTCTAATGTTCCATGACAGATTATTTAGGATTTCTTCGACATGAAGGAAATGTTCGTTGTGCACCAACTATATGTACGTTCACATTACTCGTCACAACTTCCGTGTGCCAAAATACTGATACGGCATTTATATTCAAAATAATTACTGAATTCGTTTAATTTAGATTTTGTGCTGATTTTGATGCCTTTGACATTTTTGGTTGACTGATTTTTCTTATGTTTTTCGTATTAAATGGGAACAGGTTTTATTGCTGAAAAAGAGCATCAGGGAAACCAAATTAGCATTTCGGTGATATGTCAGGGATAATTATGATTCTGATTACCTTTGAAATGAAAGCTACATGTTTGTGTTATTCTGTGCTTTAGACTTGTGATTCTTCTCATTGAAAATATTACGAAAATAAGGTCACAAAAATGTCATCAGTCAATTCTGTGTTACGATCCGTCATATGTTTTCAGGACATATTCTCTTTTCGTATTGTATGAAATTTTCATCACCAACTGCAAACTAATCCTGTTGATTGGTACAGTCTCTGTGCATTGTTAATTTGAGACCATAAAATCAAAATTATATTGGTTTTCCTATGATGTCAATTTCAAAGGCTGTTTGAAAGTGCTATGATTTATGAGAAGGTCATTGTTTGGTGCTATTAAGTTATTTTAAATTTTGTTATCAGGTATTTTAGTCTCAGTGGATAGGTCCGCCCCTACCCAATCTTCTCCTCTGTTGAATTCTGAATTTTGATTTTGTAGCAAATGATTTTACTCAGAGGTGGGGAAATTGGGTTTGTATGTGCGCAATGACTTTTACCAAAGACTTTAGTCATTTCTTTCACCAGATGATGCAGTAATTACTCTGTGATTTGATTTTTTTTGTCGCACCAAATCCTGGTACATTGCAATTGCAAATTTACAAGTTACTAATGAACAACAGGGAAATCTTAAATTTTATCTTAGCATCTCTTGTGGATGCATTTTGGAGGAAGGTGCTTAAATGTGTTAATAAGGTAAGTCAAATATTATCAACGCTAAGCCCTTGTGATTTTTCTGTGATTGATCATATCCCAAAATGTACTGACAGCTAGTTGAAAATGTTTTCGAAGAATGTTATAACCTTTAACCTGTATATCTTTATCCAATGGGTGTCAATGACAGTGTTATTCAATAGCTTGTGTAGATGTGTAGAATACAAAGGGATGGGAAGGACTGGTATTCTTTTTTTGTGACTTGAAATTACTTTTCACTTTTACTACTTTATCACTCAACATTTAAGGAATCATTTTATTAAATTATAAAAAAAAGTTTTGACAGATTGATTACTGCAGAATCTGGTGTTTGAAAATACTGACTTGTCAGTGAGGAAGTGATTTTGTATTCGGTGAAATATGTAATTGTATATAAGAATTGTACATAGAAATAATTGTAATTGAAATTGTTCGAAATATTTTAAATTATTTGTACATAAAATAGGTTTTATGCAGTTTGGCGGGTTTCCAAATGTCTGTTTTGTCTCTTTGTGTTGTGTCACTCAGTACATGTGAAACTTTCTCTCTGTTGGTTAGAGTTTATACATATACTCCAGAAGTTTCACACCACACCTCAATTGTAACATCTCATGTTCAGGCAGAAGTTTTATTCAGCTTCATGAATGAATTCTCTGTGAGGTTTCTTTTATGAAAATTATGAAAGAATTTTTTAAAGAAATTACATTAACAATGTCATAATTTAAATGTTATGTAATTTTCATCTTTTTTGTTCTTATGAAATTGAAACATTCTATATGAAAGTGATTATTGCTTCCTAAATTAATTGTTAAATTTTGTATTTAAAAAAAGGAGATTTGGCATCATTTTTTGTTTGTTGAAATATGTGATCTCGAAAAAGTTTGATTGGCACATTATTATTATCAATAAGGAGTTTATTATAAAGTTCTTGATACAAAGGCGTACCAGTAATTGTCAAAACCTTGCAGATCACTGATTATATTATATACACATTCTGACATTGTAGACATTAGGTATCTTTACAAACCGCCACCCTGTACTATGCAATTTTATATCAAGAAAACAAAACCTTATAGGTGTGAATAAATAAAGCAACTTGAATTTTGATTTGAGTTTTTGTTGATTTAACTTTTCATCAAATTAAGATTCAAACAGGTATTACCTGGATTCTTGATTGGAAAACGTCACAATGCTGTTGCCTCATTGGATTGGCTGTGATTGGTTGCATGTCATCACACCCTAACAGTATAGATATGTGTTCACAATATCAACCACTGGCTTGTGTAGTCATGATGCAGGTATCTGAGTGAGTGAGTTTAGTTCTATGCTACTTTTAGCAATGTTCCAGCAATATCCCTGTGAGTGACACCAGAAATGGGCTTCACACACTGTGCCCATGTGGGGAATCGAACCTGGGTATTCTGCGTGACAAGCGAACGCCTTAACCTCCAGGCTACCCCACCGCCCCTGCCCATACAGCTAGCTTATTGCAGACTGTCGCATTAAACAACACAGTGCCCTACATGGATGTCTGATGAGTGCTACAGGGTAAGAGACTGGTTGTGGGATCACCAACATTTGGGATCTATACACACAAAAACTAAGCGCCCCCTGACATATCTCACGATTGAATGAGCCCTGATCTTAACCCTTTAAAGCATATCTGGGACATGATTGGTCATTGTGTGCAACAAATATCCTCAAGTACAGAACCTGCCCCAGGAGGATCAGGAGGCTGACAGGGGGTATGAGGAGGCTGACAGGGGGTATGAGGAGGCTGACAGGGGGTATGAGGAGGCTGACGGGGTATGAGGAGGCTGACAGGGGGTATGAGGAGGCTGACAGGGGGTATGAGGAGGCTGACAGGGGGTATGAGGAGGCTGACAGGGGGTATGAGGAGGCTGACAGGGGTATCAGGAGGCTGACAGGGGGTATCAGGAGGCTGACAGGGGGTAGGAGGAGGCTGACGGGGTATGAGGAGGCTGACAGGGGGTATGACAAGGAGGAGGCTGACAGGGGGTATGAGGAGGCTGACAGGCGGTATCAGGAGGCTGACAGGGGGTATCAGGAGGAGAGTGCTTTGACATGGAGGTTACACTCGGTATTGACCTTGAGTCTTGTAAGACACGCAAAATGACATTTTGAATATTACATTCACCAATGATTTCAACATTAAACATTCCAGGGCCATACTTGTACAGACGTGGTTTTGTATGAAAATCGTGTTATTTGGAGTTTTTAAATGAGCAATTGTCATCATATGTTTTTTTGTTTTTATGAATCAAAGGATCATACTTGTCAGAAAAACTCATGTTTTTCCATCTTGGTAACCACGAGAAGTTTTATGTCCGTGTTGAAAACCTATCATTGCAAAAATACAGGGAGTGCGTAATTAAGTTCTTTGTGTATATTTTTGCCACAGAGAAAAAACAGCACATCATCAGTCACTGTGAAAGTAAGAATGCAAGTACTTGTAAATTTGACTTGTATGCAAAATATGAGAAAGAAAAAACAAAGTATAGTCAACCACTGGATGAATTTACCTTCCTAGGTCTAAAGTAGACACGTTTCTCCATAACAACTTTGATATACTGGCATAGCAACATTTTAGTCAACACTGTTGTCAAGCAAATCAGTTATGATATGAAAGACTTAACACATTTTTTTCCATAAATTGTGTCACTTTATCACACCACAACTGTTAAGCAGCCCATCCAAACATTCATACCTAATTCTGCAAGAGTGAGTGAGTGAGTTTAGTTCTACGCCGCACTCAGCATTATTCCAGCTATATGGCGGCGGTCTGTGAATATTGTCGAGTCTGGACCAGACAATCCAGTGATCACCAGCATGCGCATCGATCTAAGCAGTTGGGATACGATGACATCGTCAGCGAGCCTGACAACCCGATCCCGTTAGTCGCCTCTTACGACAAGCATAGGTTACTGAAGATCAATTCTAACCCGGATCTTCACGGGCTTCTACTGTAGGAAGGGGACTCCGACATTTTATTTGTAGAAGACCCTTATAGCTTACAACAAAAGTAAAATGCAATTTCAATGTAGTTTTCACATTAATTCATTAATTAAAGCCAGGTGTCCGAGAAGCACGTGCACAAGTGCAGACAAAGTTATTGATTCATTAACCTGTGCTGTGCCGTCTCCATGTTTTCTCGTACACCTGTCTGTCCCTGTCTTTGCACCCCTCCTTCGTAACAAACAGTGAACTGTGTCAAAATTTTAATGATAGTTTGTTAAACAACTTTTTTTATTTTTAGGACATAAATTCTGCAAATAAAACACAGAGTTGGTCTGATGTTTTGATTATGATCAGCGTTTTTTATTGAGTATTATATGTTTATTTTTTGGCGAGTTGGATTGCAATTCATCTGTCCGTTTTTTAGCCAAACGACTATAATTGGGATTTTTACCAAACGTGGCAGAAAACTAAAGAGTTCAAATATTGTAACATTTCAAGTCGTAACACAAACCACCTGTGCATCCTATAACACAACGTCAGCGATCAGGTAGATCGACACGAGATAAGTGGGTGTGAACTCCATCTGTTTGCAGATAAACGTGTCGACTGCCCTTATGTCCCAATGCGCTAGATCCTGCCATGAACATACTGACGAACTACAACATACAGCCATGTAAACATGTATATAACCCAACGCACTTAAAATAAAATAGCTAACTGGTAATTTTTAAAAATATGTTAATGCAGTTATACTTGACGCGTAATTCCTCCGTATTTTGACCCAACAATTTTGTAAATTACTCCCAAAATATTTTCAAACAAGTCATATTTTTGTCCAATGAGTGTACTTTGATAGCAAACAGCTCCACGACATAGAATAGCCAAGCACTGCATCCGATTACTTACCACAAAGGACAGTATCACAGAATTTGCTGTCACAGCCCTTGCTATATTTAGACACAATAATGGAATTATTATTAGTCTTTTTCTAAATTTGACTGGAATCACTATGACTCCCATTTCTCAAAGTCTGTGTAAATCCCTGTACATGCATCGTATTTATTATATTTTAAAGTGACGCTTTTGTTTACAAGCATCACATTCAATATTTATGCAGGTATAGTCAGAAAAACCGCCCTAAAACATATTCACCAAGCTTGTCCACCACTTAGGAACGATACGAGATAACTGGGTGTGAACTCCATCTGTTTCCAGGTTAACGAGTTGACTGCCCTAATGTCCCACTACGCTATTTCCTGCCATAAACATATTGACGAGCTACAATATTCAGCCCTGACATGGATAAACATTATGTTTGTAACCGCATGTATGCACTTAGATAAAGATAAAAGAGAGAACTGTTAAATTACGATTTTGTTCTTTTTATGCAGTTATACTTGACGCGTAATTCCTAAAAAAATCGTTCGTATTTTGATTCATTTTTCGTCGTCTGAATACCAGAGTGTTCTATGTCCACTTGGGTGAAAATTGAGTTACGAAGCTCAGGATATATGTTTTACTGCATATTCTGTTTTACTGCATATATTATCTCCATGCAAAGTTTCACCGAGATATATAGCCTAGAAAGTGGGTTTACGCTGGTTTATCTCCATAAAATAACACAAATTGTTAGTTCCAGAGTATTCTAAGTGGTTATTGGACAATCAGCAAATCCAGTTTGATCACGTGACATGGAAATGGACCACTCTGGAAGTGATTGTCATCATTACAGACATACAAATGGAACATTGGAACATTGCCCTTATTTATGATAAATTTAATGTAATTCGTAAGCTATAAAACTACAACAAGTTTTAAAACAATAAAAAATACAACCTGGTACGGGAGAAATAATCATACAATAATCGTTCAATAATGATTCAGCTGCTTTTCTGATACATAGAACACTCTGGTTTTGAACAAAATGGCAAATCTGTTTGGCCGAGTGTTCTATCTCCAAGCGGTTTTCGTTAAGTTCTTATTTATTTCAAGAGCTTTAACATACTTTTGGTTATTTTCCTTTTTAATATTACACATATATGTGCACAATTCCAAAGTATTTGATAGAATAGTTTTGAAAATATTGTTGATCTAAACTTCAAGATCGATTTTCTCGAAAACACTCTGGTTTTCAGGCAACGTTTTGTAAAACACTCCAAATATATTTTCAAACAAGTCATATTTGTTTCAACATGTTTTGTCTATTCACGAAATAGAATAGCCAAACACTGCATTCGATTACTTATGGAATAATTATTATCGCCTGATAAAGTACAGTCGACGTCTTTGATCTTTCAGCAAAGCATCCTAGAATATTGACAGCATAGGCAATAAACATGTTTCACAGTAATGTTGTTTGGGGGTTTCCATGGTAATGACGCCTGTCCACTTAAAGACAGCCTTTGGATCACGTGGTATAATTTATACCCCAATAAATACACCATGTACAGTACATCATACTCTGACCCTATTATTTACAAAACGCCGTCTTCTATAGCTGAAAAAGTGCGGCGTAAAACATCACACAAACAAAAACGTCGTGATTTTTAGCGACCATTTCATGCAGCATGCAGACTTTATGCATTAAAAACACTTCAACGCAACTGAAACCTGTTACGTTATTGTGTAAATTTAATACACGATAAATCTTTCTCGCTTTTCTAAAATAAAATGTATTGCAATCAAATTTTGTCTTCCATGCACGGCCGTAGTCGTCTCACAGTCTTATTATTTTCCCTACAGCCTACAGTAAAGTAAGGCCAGAAATGCTTTTTGGCAATTATATGATAATGGTTGATATTTCAGATTGTAAACTCATACACAATCATTCATACCACCTCGACCTAATATGGCATATGAGTAATCACGATGTACCATTCCTTAATCATAATGATTACTTGTAAAATATCGAAAACTTAGAAAAAATACCATGGTAAAAACACGTCTAAGAAACAAACTATACTGTGACCCACCTGGCAGGCAGAAAGGGTGACAGCGTTCATGTAACGCACGGGCAGCACATGTCAGGGACCGTCTCAAAATATCAAGTGTCAGTATCACTGCTGGTCGAGGACTCTATAGCGGAATTATAACAGATGCAACTATGCTGACGTTAACGCCGTCCCACA